GACATCCATCACACAGTAATCTCGTGCTTGGGAAATTAACGTCTCCTACCGCTAGCCCTGCAGGAGACGGGACCTCCATTTATTCGTCCCTATCCGAGAAGACTAGAATATCTAACCATTTCTTGATATTGTAGAAAGGTAGCGTATTCTCCTCATTTCTATTTTAAGACCTTGAGAGTTTGTCCAGTCGGGGCTCGAACCCTCGACCTCCCGCATAACAGTCCAGCGCACGGTCCATTGAGCTAACTGGGAGGCGGTTTTGGCTACTGCTCATGATGTGTAAGGAAGTGTAAGGAAGCCTTGGCGAGAACTATTTATGCCAGAAAAATGCAAAAAGGGCAGCCTAATTTTGCAGTGTCTGAGGCAGGACTGTCCATCCACCCATCTTTGACTTACCTTGGGGCAAGCCCTGATGGCAAAGTCTATGATCACTCATGTCCAGATCATTTATCTGGTTATTACGCCCAGGTTCAAGGAAAATTAGCAATTACGTGCCTACCATTGTGTGACTTTTGTGTCTACCTATCAGACTCCAATGAAATGTGTGTGTGGACCGAATCAAATTTGACCATGACTATTGGTCAAATAAACTTCTTCCCAAGTTAGAAGAGTTCTTTATGAAGCATGCTTTAATTTTTCTGACTGCAGCCAATCAGTACACTGATCAATAGATTAGATCATGAAACATTGCAAAAATCTCTCAAAAAGCCTCTTAAAAATTGTTAAAATGCCTTTTGATTTTTAAGCGGTTTATTAAGAGTTGTTTGTCCAATAGTAGGTATTTTGCTCCATTATTCATTAGCTTCCAGTCAAGCAGTAGAGAATCTTATCTTGTAAACAGCCATGTTTTCAAGGTGTGGTCTACATGAAGAGGGGACCTTTAAGGGACAGGGGGGAGGAACTCCCTCTCTCTCATACTGCATGTCCAACAGATAATAATCAAAGTCTCTTTCTGTGCATAGAAAGTATCACTGCATTTATTTCCCTCTGGTAAAAATAACAATGATCAATCGGGAATTATCCATTGTTGGCTTCAGTTGTGTTACATATATCACAAAACCCTAGCTACACTGGTATGATGACCTGGAATAACAATTTGTGCCTTATAGCCTAGGAGCCAAATTTCATGTAGTCTAAAATTCTGGAATTTCTGTGTCGGCAGTCATAAATACAAGAATGGTTATGTGAGCGAAGCATTCCAGGAGACACAATCAGTCAACTAAATGTATACTTTGTGCATTCTGATTTATTGGTCCATATTCCTTTTATTGGGGGGTGCTTGCTGTTGTAGCATTTACATTTTAGTAGCCAAATACCATAAGTGTAACAAAACAGAAATAATTTATCCCAGATTATAATTATTGCACCTGTCAGTGGCTCCCCTTTGTACTGGTGGGGTAATCAGGTATAACCATAGAGTTTGGCATAAAAAATTGCTTGTCAATTGCTGTCAAAAATGCCCTTACTTTACATTGATATACTGTCTTATTTAATTGGACTTGTGTAAAAAGCCAGGAAATCGGCTAATATGGTATTAGACATGTAACATGTATATGAGCATGGTCTGCAATAGTCTAGAATACATATCTCAGCTTTCCTCAAGCACAGCACAATGTTTTACTTAGTCCTTGCTTTGTTCTGGCTTTCAAATTCTTAATGTATCAAGCATTATAACACAGGATTTTGAAAATTGAAAAGACAGTAAGCAACAGACCATATCTGATTAATGCTTCCAAACATTGTAACAGGTCTTTCTGAACGGAAAATGCGAAAACGCCAAATTTTGCCTATGGCCCTCCCAACATGGATACTGTGTGCCGCTACGGTTTGAGTTTTGATGACATCATCTTCATGGAACCCAGATTGATCTTTAAGAAAGGGAGGTATGTTGACCCTATTCCCACTTTCTGTAGTTCAGTAGCAATGTCAAAACCCTTATCCGCCATGACTGCATCTCCCTTCTTTACTTCTCCCACATGTAGTTTCTTTTGAAGTACTGCAAGAAAACCAGACCTTTGTATTATTTTTTTATCACTTATTGAGCTTTCATATAGCTGCGAGACAAACATTACGCCTCCACTTGGGTCAACACCAATCAGGCATTTAAGTGTGGCGTGGGATTTGCAGGTACTGTAACATTCGCTGTGTTTCTGTAACGCACTTGGCACCTGAACCTGGAGTTCAGTCGCATCAACAATGATGACATTGGTGGGATACTTTTCTAAAAAGTCTTTTGGGCTGTTATTTAGAATTATATCCCTGTGGGGCCAGCTCTTGAGGGAGCCAATTACTATGTAAATGTAATTTACCCATGTCAGGAAAATATTTGTTACTGTGCTCTCAGACACACGGAACCTTTCAGCAAGGTCAATATTGGCTAAACCCATTCTAAGCTTCATAAGTACAAGGAGATATTCGTCTTCAACAAGTCATTTTTGAGCCGTTGGCCGCGTCATGGTTTTCTCATGGCTTTCTTCCCCATCACTGTCACCTGCTTCAGGAACAATTTCTTCGTCTTCTTCGTCCTAATCAAATAGCTTTCCATGTTAATTATTCTAGATTTACCGGCTTCACTGTCCCAGTAAATCAGTTGTTTCCTGTCTAGGCCTGGCAAAATAAAGTGCAAGATACTTCTGAATTCTTCGTAGGAGTTAAAACCTGTGAAGTCCGTGAACAGTTTTGTCTCCTTCTTCACTGTTGTGCACGTGGAAAGAAGATGTGAAACTGAAAATCTATGCGAACAAGGCATTCTTTCTTCTCGACAGTCTTGCTTTTCACTGCACAAATCATCATCAATTGTTTGTGTTTTCCTGGAAACACATATTTTGTCATCTACTGTAATCAAGTCACCTTCTCCTTCCGATGCGGTATCCGTTGCTTCGTCTTGTTCCATTCGGATAGCTTCCAGCTTCCGAACAGCCGGTCGTATTTTTTCTTGTTCACTGTCTTCTAGCGGAATATCTTTAGTCCACACAAATATAGATGGAACTGCATTGGGTCTCAGTCGCCGCATGGAACCATCGGGATTGATGAAATCTTCGCGTAGAAAGTGCGAGCTACATATCTTGGAGTGTTTGCTCGGCTTGAAATATTTGCGGTTGTTTCGATACATTTTATGCAGTCATTTGTTCAGCAAACGTTTCCGTCCTCCTCTGCTTGGTAGTCCGTGAAAAAAAAGATCCTTGAGGACATTTGAAATATTCTGGCACTCTCCTGCACAGCAGAAGTGAGGTATTATGTAGGTATTTTGACAGCTTTTCTTTCAACACGTGCAGAAAGCCGCCATGTTTGTTTTGATTTGGTATCCATCTCAGACCACGTGACCTAAGACTCCGAGATAGCCTATTTTGTCTATTGTCCTTCAGCAACATCCTTACGTTCTGTTAAATTCTCTTTGGAGGATACAAATGAAAGAGTAAGGCCAGCATGTTCTTTGACAAACAATCCACCTTTTCCATAGCAGGATGGTGGACCTCTAATAGACGCTCTGACGATGTACTCTTTATTGGCTTGCACAATAAGTGCAGGCTCAAATATTACGTCCTAGCCGTAATAGTCGTCGTCGTCGCTCTGCATGGGTATAGATTAAAAAGTGCCCCTCACTGTGGCCACAGACTGTTTCTCACCATCATAGACTGTTAGAATTACATTATATTCATTGTTCTCACTACCAAATAGTCGAACGGCATAAAGTTCAATGGTCTTGTTAACTGAAAAAGTAATTGCATCAGGAGTGATGTCAAATCGCCTGCCGTATTTCCACCCTTCTCCTAATGCTGAAAACCTGCTAATCCATTGTGACCCACCTCGTTTCCTTTCACCAAATTCAACTGGTTTAGGAAGCATGCCATTAAAGTAATTCATCATGTTGTGAGCTTCATCAGGTGTCAAAATCTCACAGTCAAGAATAACCCCTACGAATTTTTTCTGTTTCATGACCGGGAAACGAATATTTCCAACAACCGTCTCCCCAAGGATTCTTATTTTCATGGACTCTTCTGGTGCCAGGTTTTTCTTTTCGTATTCATGTCTAGCCCAACAGTCCACAGCTTTAAATAACTCCACTTCTGTAACATTCAAAGAGTCTCTTTCCATCAATTCTTCCAGCAAAGATTTCTCGATTGTTACGAAAGCATCCGATTTCACAGCTTCGTCTGCATGTTCATCGAACACTTCCATGCATATATCCACCAGATCTTTCTCTTCATATTTCTGCGCCTCTGACAGGACATAAAATACATTTGATGCATCCAAATTCTCTCCCAGGTATTCCGTGCACTTGTCAACAAGAGAACTGAAGCATGTATTTCTTCACTAGATACAAGACTTGCATAACATTGTCAGCGTTCAAGTTCACTTCATCGCTGTAAATGAAGCGGAACAACTCTAACAAGCTTTGATACTCGCAATCAGAGATTTTGATGGAGTCTTTCGTCTCTGCTAATTCACCGTAGAACATGGCGTAAAATACTGGACTGCCGATCGCCAACACGAACTTGTGAGCCGGAATCGTCTTCATAATTTTACCACCGGCCTCAACGTCTTGCACAACAAACTTCACCTTACTCAGGAGCTCGTTGTTAAACATAAACTTACATCTTTCCCTGATCGTAAACCTTTCCATCTCACTCCAGTAATCTTGGCTGACTGCAACCAGAGACATACTTAATGAAAGAATTCCAACGGAGTCAGATGTAAATCAATCGCTTCGTTCTAATTTAAGGCATAATAGCAGCCCCGAGAGTGACGAAAGATGGATAATACTGTATGCTTGACCAGCATTCACTCACCTATTTAGATACCTCGTGTAGACTACACTCATATATGACCAATTTCAAATAAGCCATCGGTACTCTACACTCAGACAGAAGCACAACAACCCTCATCATCTGCAGCTGGTACAACTATTTACATTGATTGTCTACAGTAAAACGGCCTCGAATAGATGATGATCGTCATCAGTTAAAGAAGGATCGTTTGCAAGACTAAGATGAGAGTAACGGCAATGCCAAAGGACAAACAACTGATGCGTAAAGGCAACACGGGAAGTTCGGCTCAGTGCAGTAAGAAAGCTTACAAAGTGACTTACCCCGCTCCAAGATAAGCTGAGTAGATCGATGGCTTACGCTTGAGAATAAATCATTCGTTAGCTCGTTTTGTTTACGTTGCGACTTGATTTTGTTAGAAAGTGATTTCTATCCATCAATTTCCTACATCATGTGTTCCACTTTAAAATATGTTTTTATTTTTTCAGAAAGGATGTAATGAAAGATGCTGGATTGATCAAATTCTTACTGATGAATGGATCATTCCGCAATTTTTCTTCGGGAAGCGGCAGGGAGGTATTTCTTGACAACATCGCCAGCACACGCTCTGAATAATGATATTGTTGTAGAACCCTATGTGTCATAGGTTAGAGATTTCACCATAATATTTTAGAGTTGAAGCAGTACAATAGATTGTTAATAATTATAGGAGCAATCAATTTTAACTTAATTGTTTGTTTCCCTACAAGGTAATCACGGTTGACGTATCAAGAGTTTATCCCAAGTAATAGACAGGTTTTTTTAATAACAATAATAATTATAATAATAATAAAGTATTTATATAGCACCAGTTTCCTTAAAGTTCAAAAGCGCTTAACAAGAGTGATACAATTGTAAAATTAGAAAAACGCTTTTTTAAAAAGAAAAAATTTAAGTTTGTTTTTAAAAACGGACACTGAGGAGCTGTTCTTGATATCGGACGGCAAAGTGTTCCAGAGTGTGGGGGCAGCTACAGAAAAAGATCTTGCACCGTATGTCTTCAAATTATAATGAGGAATCAAAAGGAGCCTTCTTAGATGATGAACGCAGTTGACGAGCTGGAACGTGAGGTGTGAGTAGATCACGAATGTACGATGGTGCAAGATTGTTAAGAGCTTTGAACGTGATGAGTAGAATTTTAACCACAATGCGTTAAAGTATCGGAAGCCAGTGAAGATTTATTAGAATAGGCGTAATGTGTTCATGTTTTCTTGGAAGAGAGAGGAGACGAGCAGCGGCGTTCTGGACGTGCTGTAACTTTTTTACTTGGTAGTTCGGTAGTCCATAGAGTAATGAATTACAATAATCCAATTTTGAAGATACAAATGCATGAACAAGTATTTCAGTGATGGTTGATGACAAGTACTTTCTTTTATAGCTGATATTACGGAGATGGTAAAAAGATGATTACAGATACTTGCAACATCATCGTTGAAAAGAAAATGATTGTCAAAGGTAAAACCAATATTTCTAGCTTTCTGTGAGAGGTGGATGGTCTCACTGACGACGGAGATTTCTTGAACAGTTGGCATAGGTAGCTGTTTAGCAGAGATCACTAGTAATTCAGTCTTATCCTTGTTTAGTTTAAGACAGTTAGCCAACATCTAGTGATCAATCTCATGTACACAACGCTCAATGTTAGACACAGCTAAATCCTTGTCACCAGGTATAGTTGACTGAAAGGATAAATAAGTTGCGAATCATCAGCATAAAAATGATAACCCAAGTTAAATCTCTTAACAATGTCAGAGAGCGGTGAAGTGTAGAGAAGGTACAAAATGGGTCCCAAAACAGAACACTGTGGAACAACACATTGAAGAACACGTTTCACGGAAGTTCTGCCATCTACAGACACATACTGCATGCGATCGGACAAATAAGATTGGAACCATAAAAATGGCTTGCCAGTAACTCCAAAGCGTTCATGTAGACGAGAAAGAAGAATATCGT